ACGCAACAGCCTGTTGGACCAAGCTCTCACAAGTCAAGCCTAGCCCCAGGCCGGGCTTAGGGAATAGAAAACTTTCCAGAACCAACCAATTTAAAATGCAGGTAGATGAACTGGGTTAAGCATGGAGGATTAATGTTCCCGTAGGCGAGGAGGTGTATCTGACGAGTCTTTCAGTAGCCGGGAGACTGATGGCTGCAATCTTCAGGTGAATGTAGGCATTATCATGCCAGCGTCTGGCTGGGTGGTGTCCTGAAGGACTTTGCTGCGTCACCGCAAACATCCTTCCCGTACACAGGCAGTTCCTAGAATAATGTTCGTGGCTTGGGCTGGGTCTAGCTGGGTAGATAGGTAGGAGGTAGACTTACCGGTAGGGAGCCGGTCGGCCGAGAGGACAGCACACTGGGCTTGTGATCCTGTGGTCCCGGGTTCGATCCCGGGCGCCGGCGAGAAACAATGGGCAGAGTTTCTTTCACCCTATGCCCCTGTTACCTAGCAGTAAAATAGGTACCTGGGTGTTTGTCAGCTGTCACGTGCTGCATCCAGGGGGTGGAGGCCTGGTCAAAGACCGGGCCGCGGGGACACTAGAAAGTCCCGAAATCATCTCAAGATAACCTCAAGAAGATCAAGATAGGTGATAAATAGATCAACACAAAACATTGGATTTAAATTGGATAAGAAAGGAATAAGATAAGAAATAAGATAAATATTGGATTTAGAAAACAAAAAAACTGGGAAAATACTCGATTGGAAATAGGGTGAATGATTCACGGAACAAAATATTAGATGTACGATGACTTGATTGTTTCCAGAGTAGGTTAGACAATATGAGTGAGTTTGGGTAGATACAAGTAGGAGCTGCCTGGTGCGGGCTAGTAGGGCGTCTGCAGCTTCATTAATACCAGTATTCTCATAGTCTTCCTCCACTCCTTCTCCGTCTCCATTGATGTTTCAATAGGAATTCTTCAGACGAAGTTTCTTTGTGACGGGAACCAAATTGGAGCCCGCAAAGTGACCTTGACGGCTGAGCCTCGCTGGAGACAGACAGGAAACACGCAGCCAGAGATGTCTCGTCGCTTGTAATGTCTCTCTCTCATTACTCACGCTGTGGGCGTTGCTGTGGGAGGCGTGGGCGTTGCTGTGGGAGGCGTGGGTGTTGCTGTGGGAGGTTGAGGCGTGGGTGTTGCTGTGGGAGGTTGAGGCGTGGGCGTTGCTGTGGGAGGTGGAGATATGAACGTTGCTGTGGGAGGTGGAGATATGAACGTTGCTGTGGGAGGTGGAGGCGTGATAATGAGGTAATTAATAACATAGGTGATGTTTGCTTATGGTGGTAAGTGTTGCCAGTCATCAGTAGTAGAGGGACGTCCTTGCAGCATTTAGTTGTGGTAATGGTAATGTTGTCATAATTACTTGGGTACTTACTCTTGGTGGTGGTGTCAGCCATTACACTTCCTGGTCTACTATTTTTACTTGAACTTGTCAGTTACTTGTATACCTATAAGTACTTGCCTAAAAACATCTTCGGGGGAGGTCATCTTGAGGTTATCTTGAGATGATTTCAGGGCTTATTAGTGTCCGCGCGGCCCGGGCCTCGACCAGGCCTCCACCCCCCAGGAAGCAGCCTGGGCCTCGACCAGGCCTCCACCCCCCAGGAAGCAGCCCGTGACAGCTGACTAACACCCAGGTACCTATGTGGGGTAGATCTGTGCTACAGTCTACTACTTGCCTTATTGTGCCTGTTGCGTTATAATTTGATCTGACGGTTAAATTCTTAGTCGAATCTGGTTTTAAAGTTTTGGGCGGAAGAGGCTACTTTCAGGTCATTCCATTTATTGACCACTCGTACAGGGTGCGAGTATGGTCCTGCCTACTCTCAACTTGAAGAGTCGTTCTTGGTGGTCCTTGACCACTTTGTCTGTTCTCGGTATCTTGTATGTTGTAATCATATCCCCTCTTGTATCTTCTAGAGCTGTGAGATTTAGTTCCATTACCTGGAGCTGGTTTCGAGAGTTCTACTCCCCGATCCCGGCCTGGGGCCAGGTTCTTTTAGCCTATTCTCATAGCTTAACCTTCTTAGCTCTGGCACGATGATGATAATATAATGATAATATGTTATAATGTTATAATGATGATAATATAATGATAATGTTATGTTATAATGTTATAATGATGATAATAATTTATTCACAATAAGGTACAATGGGTTGGTGAGATTACATAAGATTGGTATTTTTAAATTCTTGCAAAGCCACTAACACGCGTATAGCGTTTCAGGCAGGTCCTTAATCTAATATATCAGGTATGATGAAAAGGTGCATTGTAGCAAGGTGGTACATTGCTACATTGGTGCTTCCCATATTGGGGAAGTGGATAGTACAAGATACAGTGTGAGTGTGAAGTACAAGATAGGTGCGATTGTTAATCAAACAAACAATATTGTTAACCATTGATTGTTAACCAATAAACATTCCACATTGTTAACCTGTGTACTTCTTTAATTTTCTTTTATGCTGTCAAGGTGCGCATTCCATGCAGGTGCTGCGTATTTTAGTACTGGTCTAACACATGCTTTGTAGATGGCCTTGATGGTGTCTAAATCTAGACTTGTGAAGGATGTTCTTACGTCTGTGTCAGCGTCGCGTGTGCTGCTGATGTTATCCTGAGTGTGTATGCCTCACTCGGGTGTTGGTATTGGAACCGTCTCCACTCTCAGATCTTTCTATCTAAGAGTCCTGTAGTTGTCTTCATGCTTCCTGGCCTCATGGCTAATGGGTAGAAGACATTAAGGATTCCTTCCTCTAGGGAAGGAATCACGAGTCCTTCGATTTGATTTGTAATAATAATAATAGTAAAATGGGTTGGGGGGACAGGTAGCCTGTGTGTGTGTGTATTCACGTAAGGCTTATATCCAGGTCCCTCCCCCCCCCCCCACCACCAAGATGCAACCCAACAAGAAGTTGACTTACTCCTGAGTCAACTTACAGCTAGGTGAACAAAGGGGTATCAAATAAAATTCAACTATAGCCAGTGGAAATGTTGCAGCTTGCATAGTTAGGTAGGCTGAATGCTGGGAAGGATTGGACTGGGGGGGGGTAGGGGGGGGTCGTCCGCGGTGGTTGGGGGTCAGCGGCCCCAGACGGAAGTTGCGGTGGGGGGAGGGGGGGGGGCGGCAGGAGCAGTTGATGGGTGTGGGGGTCGCGACTGGTGTTACACAGTGGTTGTGTCTGGTAGTGGTGGCATCCTGTCCCTGCAGCCTCATACACTTCCACACCACTAATTTTGCCGAAAATAATTGCCTTTGTTAAACTTAGTATTAAGGTTAAGATAATCACATAATGTGTGTTAATATGTACAGCGTAGGAGCTAGGGTGGTTCTCCAAAGGATACCTGATCAACCAGGCTGTGACTCATACGTCAGGCTGCGAGCAGCCGCGTCCAACAGCCTGGTTGATCAGTCCAGCAACCAGGAGGCCTGGTCGACGACCGGGCCGCGGGGACGCTAAGCCCCAGAAGCACCTCAAGGTAACCTCAAGGCAAGGTAACTCGTAATTCTGTGGCGCGGGTTCGATTCCTGCACCAGGCAGAAACAAATGGGCAAAGTTTCTTTCACCTTGTGGCAGAAGCTGTCAAGATGGAATAAAGCAACACGTATCCTCCCCCCCCCCCTAAAGTATCTGTCCTCGTTACCTTGATATTGTTTCGTGGATCAATATCCCCGAAGCTCGGTCTCTAACCAGGCCTCGTACCCAAAATGTTGCCGGTATGTGTATATATTGTATATCTTGGGAAATGTTTTCCCACCGTTAGAACATTGTATACAAGTTAAAATCTATTAAATACAACTCTCCCTTCACAACCTCACAATACAAAGAGAATACAATATTCTTCAATACAAAGTTAACTTTCTCTCCGCCCCATTTCCACTCCATAACTAGACATGTATTGTACGTAATTAGCACACACACTGTATACCTTACCTTGCGATGATTTCGGGGCTCAACGTTCCCGCGGCTCTGTCCCTGACCAGGTCTGCTGGTTGATGGACTGGTCAACCAGGCTGTTGGACGCGGCTACTAGCAGCCTGACGTAGGAATCACAGCCTGGTTGATCAGATATCCTTTAAAGGTGTTTATCGAGTACTCTCTTGAACACTATGAGGGGTCGGCCAGTTATGCCCCTTATGTGTAGTGGAACTGTGTTGAACAGTCTCGGGCCTCTGATGTTGATAGTTCTCTCTCAGAGTACCTAAGGCGCCTGGCTAAATATTTTGACAAATTTGAAACTATCACTTTTGTTCTGTTAATGTGCAAACTTATTCACCGAGGCCAGGAAAATTTAACAAACTTTCTGCTATTCATACGTTGGTCATATCACCATAAAACAGGAAAAACAGATTATCCCGGGCACCGCCGAGTACTCCTAGTTTATTATACCAAGAGGCTGTGAGAGCTCGAGGCTCACTTGTTCCGATGACGGGCGGTGGTATGACACCAGGTGTTTCCAGAAGTTGGCCTAGCCCTAGAAGGTGCTAGGCCAACCATTTTGGCCTAGCACCAATCGACTTGAGAATGGTCCAGGACGGACCGAAACGTCGTCGTCCCTTCATATTCTAGTGTGTGGTCTTGTCATCATTTTGGCCTAGGTTGGCCTGGTTGGCCTAGCTGGCCTACCTTGAGGTTACCTTGAGGTGCTTCCGGGGCTTAGCGTCCCCGCAGTCCGGTCGTCGACCAGGCCTCCTGGTTGCTGGACTGATCAACCAGGCTGTTGGACGCGGCTGCTCGCAGCCTGACGTATGAGTCACAGCCTGGTTGATCAGGTATCCTTTGGAGGGGCTTTGGAGTCCTGCGCGCTATCCACCAGGCTACCAGGTGTGTGTGTGTGTGTGTGTGTGTGTGTGTGTGTGTGTGTGTGTGTGTGTGTGTGTGTGTGTGTGTGTGTGTGTGTGTGTGTGTGTAGTGGCGGGTGTGGAAGCCAGAGAGTAATAAGTGGTGTTTGTGTTTCAGAGCGCCAGAGTACTTCTCCAAGTTCTGGTTGACCAAGATCAAGGCGGATGTGGGCGACAACTGGAGACTGAAGGTCAGTTATACTTACCTTGTTTCTTACTCCCTCTTTCCCTTCCTTCCTTCCTTCCTTCCTTCCTTCCTTCCTTCCTTCCTTCCTTCCTTCCTTCCTTCCTTCCTTCCTTCCTTCCTTCCTTCCTTCCTTCCTTCCTTCCTTCCTTCCTTCCTTCCTTCCTTCCTTCCCTTTCATCCTTCCTTCCATAATTTTCATATCTAATTTGTGCTTCTTTCCCTACTTAATAACTTCCTGCATTGTAACATCTTAATTTTTTATATTAAAAACTAATATTATGTATATAAACAATGAGAGCTACAATGAGGGAGGAGGTATGAGAGCTACAATGAGGGAGGAGGTATGAGAGCTACAATGAGGGAGGAGGTATGAGAGCTACAATGAGGGAGGAGGTATGAGAGCTACAATGAGGGAGGAGGTATGAGAGCTACAATGAGGGAGGAGGTATGAGAGCTACAGTATTTGTTCCAAAGTCAAATCATTGAAGATAATTATAATTTTATGGAAGCTAAGGGAGTACTAACCGGTCGGTCAGCGGACGGCACGCTGGACTTGTGATCCTGTGGTCCTGGGTTCGATCCCGGGCGCCGGCGAGAAACAATGGGCAGAGTTTCTTTCACCCTATGCCCCTGTTACCTAGCAGTAAAAACGGGCTGCTTCCTGGGGGTGGAGGCCTGGTCTAGGACCGGGCCGCGGGGACACTAAAGCCCCGAAATCATCTCAAGATAACCTCAAAAAGGTGCCACGATTGAGGGGAGGTGGGGGGGGGGACACAGTGAAGGTGCCACGATTGAGGGGAGGTGGGGGGGGGGACACAGTGAAGGTGCCACGATTGAGGGGAGGTGGGGGGGGGGACACAGTGAAGGTGCCACGATTGAGGGGAGGTGGGGGGGGACACAGTGAAGGTGCCACGATTGAGGGGAGGTGGGGGGGGACACAGTGAAGGTGCCACGATCACAATAAAGTCCCAAAGTCTTAGACATGTTCTTAACAGTAGAGCACACACTGTGATGTAGATGTGTGTGTACTCCTTGGTCAAGCTCAGAGCCCCCATGTCCAGCAGTCAAACCTCAGCTCGCTATCCCGTCCCCCCCCCTCAAAGTGAAAATAACAACAACAACAAGAATACCACTTCTAGGTAAGTGCCACACCTGTCACTATCAGTCACATGGCCACTGACATCCTCACCATTCGTTGGGGGTTGGGGGGAAGGGGGTCAAATCCTACACAAGGAGATTCGTCAAAGTTGATTACATTGTTTAAATCTTTCATAATGATAGATTAGGATAGATTAGATTAGGTTGGTCTGGGTTAGGTTGGGTAGGATTTAGTATCCCACGCCAGGCACCTGAGACCAGAAGGCATGGCAGGATGTGCAGAATACCCCCGTTGAAGAGCAGAGGTGCAACAGGTACTCTGAGAGAGAACTATCAACATCAGAGGCCCGAGACTGTTCAACACGCTTCCACTACACATAAGGGACATAACTGGCCGACCCCTCACAGTGTTCAAGAGAGAACTATCAACATCAGAGGCCCGAGACTGTTCAACACGCTTCCACTACACATAAGGGACATAACTGGCCGACCCCTCACAGTGTTCAAGAGAGAACTATCAACATCAGAGGCCCGAGACTGTTCAACACGCTTCCCCTACACATAAGGGACATAACTGGCCGACCCCTCACAGTGTTCAAGAGAGAACTGGATAAGCACCTCCAAAGGATACCTGATCAACCAGGCTGTGACTCATACGTCAGGCTGCAAGCAGCCGCGTCCAACAGCCTGGTTGACCAGTCCAGCAACCAGGAGGCCTGGTCGACGACCGGGCCGCGGGGACGCTAATCCCCGGAAGCACCTCAAGGTAACCTCAAGGTAACTTCAAGCCGACTAGCTCACCCACACTCAACACTCGCCCTACCAGAACTAACCATACACTCGCCACACACTACAGCCTACCACCCCACACTCATTCTTGATATGTTGGTTTTTTCTTAACATGCACTTAACTATGGGGGGGGGGGTGGATGTGGGGGAGGGTGGAGGACTACTGAAGAACCTTGGCAGACGCCGCCGCCGCCGCCTGGGGCTATTGTCTCGTCTTGATTGTCTGGGTACAGCATTTTCCTCCCTGGCTGGCTGGTGTAGCAGGCGCGCCAAGGTGCCCCTCTCATCTCGTCGTCTTCACAGGTGTTCTGGTCTACTGTGGCAGAGTAGGTAAGTGGAGTGACACTTGGGGGGGGGGGGGAGGTAGTAATGCGGCCACTCTTGCTCTTCAGTGTAGTGGGGCGGGGGAAGGGTGCTGGCTCTTTCATCACGTGTACTGGAAGGTGTTGGATTTTGTTTGGTGTGTAAGTGTAGGTACAGAGCTTGGTGACTGGCTGGCAGAATGGATGTGTTTGGGTTAGTGAGATAATCGGTAATCACTCAGATATTACTGACGGACAGGCATATACATGTATATATATAAATATATGTGCATTTATATATATATAACATTAATAATTGTGTCAAAAGATTGTTATTTTCTTAGCTAAACGAACTAGGGGGTTCAGTTCCTGAACCGATTATGTGCCTCTGTAACCCTTTCCATCACCACCCACGGGGTGGGTATGGGTTGCATAATAAAGAAGGAAAAAGTAGGACAGTAGTCCTACTTTTTATGGAGGACAGTAGTCCGCCTGTCCTACATTGAAGTAGGACAGGCGGGTAGGACAGACTGGCCGAGTTCGTGGTGACCGATGTGTATAGGGAAGGTTCACTCGGGCCTCTCTCGGGCCTCCCTCGGTGCTGTGCAACTAGGTAAAGGGTTGCATTGCAATGTTGCTTTGTAACAATCTTTTTTTTTCAATGTTCTGCAGTGAATACATTTGCTGGCAGATTGTTTCAGGACCTGAGAACTGTCCATAGGCTCACCCAGTCCATTGAATGTCCAGTTTAACTTCAGTGATCGATGAATCAGTCTACAGTTCCTGGGTAGCACCCTGGGAAATCTTCCTAGCAGACTAAGACTATAGCTCTTAAGGGGGAAAACAGAATCAGACTAAACTGCCATTTAATACATCATTGCAAAGATGAATGTAGACGCAAACTTTGTATCTAACAGCTTTACATACTTCACAGACGGATCAGTAGACGAGGAGAGAGGAATCTAAAGCTGCCGATAAGGCAGGAAATACCATAGTTGGAGGCTGTGATACAACCTTCCGGAGATGCTGCCCATTCAGAAGACGTGATTCTCATGTTATATCTGCTAGGAATATTCTTTTCTCCTCACATTTTCCATTTCGGAATGCCAACCTTTTGTTTTCAGTACCCCTCCTCGAGTTCAATAACCCTTCTTCAACAAGGTACTCCAACGGCAGTACACTGTGGTCGCTCATTCCTACTGGGGCCTCAAAAGCTCGCCAGACTGCGAGCAGGCAGGTAGATGCTATTATTATTATTAGGTAGATGCTCTTGTTGAACATGGAGGACACGCCATCGTGCATACGGATTCGGAAACTGCTATTGAAACTTTGCAACAAGAGCATGACTTCATCTGACCACAGACGTTAATGAATGCTTATCAGCTGGATGTCAAGTCGTGTAGGAATGCTAGGGAAGGACATGAAGATGTAGATGACGCGGCAAAACTTGTAACTAGAAGCAGAAATGCTGACATTTATATACCACAAAATCAAGCGCAGAATAATTGGAGCATTCCTTGTGATGATATCAGGGCTCAATGTCCCCGTGGCCCGGTCCTCGACCAGACATCCCGGTTGCTGGACTGGTCAACCAGGGTGTTGGGTGCGGCTGCTCGCAGCCTGATGTATGAATCACAGATTCATACACAGAGCTAGTGCATAAAATGTTGCAGGTGCAATGTGAGATATGTAGGATGGCATAGTAATTCAACTCGTGAATTTATTTTGATGAAAGAGAAAAATAGAAGAACAGAAGTGCACTTGCACCACACCAGGCCTGTATACCCACGGGTATGGGTATACAAGGGCAAATATATACCCCATTTGTTCATGGGGAAATAGGCTTACAGATTCCAGGAGGAGAGAGATGATGTCAGCACTATGGAGAAATGGCAAACAGACCACTGGAACATGATCTAATACAGTAGAGAGTTACAAACTAAATAAAATACCAGTCAGACTTAACATGACAGAAGTTGTTGCTTAACACATTAGACATGACCTTACTGGAACTAATATACGAGTCATAAACCCTCGTCTACCATCTATAATAGACTGAATGAGTAACAGCGATCAGGCCAGCCACTGGCTCGGGAGCCACACAGGAATATCCTACAGAAAACAAACCTCTTATGTCCTAGCCTGAAGAAAGTATGGTGTGTTAATTTACATTGTTTTGTGTAATTGTACATTCATTGCTCTCTCGTGCCATTGGCTCTTGAGCTTAACACACTCTTGTGAGGTCATGGGCCTTACTGCCTCTACCTTCCAGGGACACTGTGTGGGTAGTGTTAGTGTTGTTATAGATTCAGCTACTCGGAACAAGTTCCAAGTAGCCCGGGCTATGGTGAGCCCGTAACTTACCTGGCACAGGAGCGGGGCAAGTAGCACGGGCTATGGTGAGCCCGTAACTTACCTGGCACAGGAGCGGGGCAAGTAGCACGGGCTATGGTGAGCCCGTAACTTACCTGGCACAGGAGCGGGGCAAGTAGCACGGGCTATGGTGAGCCCGTAACTTACCCGGCACAGGAGCGGGGCAAGTAGCACGGGCTATGGTGAGCCTGGGTAGTGTTAGTGTAGGTGTGTTAGGTAGGAGCATGACTCCTACCTAACTCCTCCCACCAATGTCATCTAACCCACTGGCCCGAATAGAGAGTACTCTTCAGGGTAGACCTTCAGAGTACTCTCACCTCTCTCTACCTAATATATCGTGGGCAAAGATTTTGTCTTATCTTATCTAAATATATAATATATAATTCAAATATTGATCAAATCATATCCCTATTCTCATTACTAACAGTAATATTAATCATGA